AACAAAATGTGGTATAGCTATACTAGAATATTATTTAGTCCTAAAAAGGAATAAAGTGCTGATAAATGTTATAACATGGATGAACCTTAAGAATATTAAGAGAAAGAAGCCACATATTATTGTATGATTTCATTTATAGGACAGGTCCAAAATAGGTACTGGGTTGGCCAGAAACTAGTTTTTTCCGTATGATGGCTCTAGCAGTGCTTAGTTATCTTTAACTTCATTTGAAACCGTTTAGTTATTGTGACAGCTGTCATATCAGCATGCATTAAAAAAAAAACTTGTCAAAATTGGTAAATTTTTGTGCAGCCATTTTACTATTGAAGATGGAAGAAGATATGCAACATATTTGGCGTGTTATGCTTTATTATTTAAAGAAAGGTAAAAATGCAACTGAAATGCAAAAAAATATTTGGGCAGCATATGGAGAAGGTTCTGTGACTGATTAAATGTGTGAAAAGTGATTTGCGAAGTTTCTTAGTACTATTGACATTTTGGCCAAGTAATTGTTTGCTGTTGGGCTGTCTTATGCACTGGAAGATGTTAAACAGCATCCCTGGTCTCTGCCCACTAGAAGCCAATAGCAGAGTAGCCAACATATACAAAATATCCTAATCAATAAAGTTATTGGTGAAAATGAAAAATGTGTCTTATGGAAAAAACTAAACGGACTTTTTAGCCAACCCAATAAATTATTACATATAGAGAAAGTAGACTAGTGGTTGCTTGGGGCTGAGAGGAGGGTTAGAGGAGGAATGAGGATTGACTGCTAATGGGTATAGAGTACCTGCTGGGGCACTCTTTCTTTGCCATGTATGGTATTGGCTACGCTGCTATCCTTTCTGAACATTGTCTCTGTTGAGAGAGAGAGAGAGAGAGAGAGAGAGCGCGCGCGCGCGCACGGTCTTCTTTATGGCACTGGCCATGAAAAAACTGCAAAATCTTTCTTTACTAAAGTCTGTGTTCCTCACTTTAGTAAAGGCTAAAAGGCCAAGTCCAATCTGTCTGAAAGCTGGTAACCCATGTTGCTACATTTGTGGCATTTGTGGTTGGTACTTTGTAAGATAGGAAACTCAGAATGATCCTCTTCTAGAAAAGAAGGAAACAATAATCAGCAAGGTAAAGGGTACAAAAAGAGAAGGCCACCTGTGTAATGAGAAGCTAACTTTATCCATTTTACTACTTTGCTAAATAAAGAATGACTGTGGCCTGTGGTCTGTGTTACCTCGATGCCGGGGTCCCTGTGGAGAGCAGAACATCCATGTATTAGTTTTCTCAGCTGCCATAAGAAAATACGATAGGCTAGGCAGCTTCAAAAACAAATACAGTTTTTTACACTTCTGGAGGCTAGAAATCTTAGATCAAAGTTCAGCAGGGTCAGTTTCTGGTGAGGAATCTTCCTAACTTACAGACAGCCAGCCACCTTTTGGCTGTGTCTTTACATCGTAGACAGAGGGATCAAGTAATCTCTCTGTTATCTCTTCTTATAAGGACACTAATTATGTTGGATCAGTGCCCAGCCCTTATGACCTCATTTAATCTTAATTACTTCAGTAAAGGCCCTCTCTGCAAATACAATCTCACTGGAGATTATGGCTTCAACATATGAATTGGGGGCTGAGGAACAAATAACGAATTTCATCATGTATAATGTGCACATATTTGCCCAAATTTTTGAGGGAAAAATAAGGATGTGCATTATACATGGGTAGTACCTGAAATACCTTGTATCTGTCCTTATGTTTTGTAATTATTTGTTACATAAAATTCCTTGTACCATAATATGTTAAAAAATAAATGCTAAAATTCCTTTATAATCCAAAAGAAGCCAAGTAAATATAAACAAATAAATAATTGAATTATAAAATTAAAACAAAAGATTATTTTTCCTCAAAATTTGAGCCAAAAATGTAGGCGTGCATGATACGTCGCAAAATACAGTATTCATAACAATTCAATAGGAATTTAATGGGGGTGCCCTGATATAGCCTACCCTAGCCCTCTGCTCATGTGAGGCTCCTTTCTGGTCTCTTCAGCTACCTTTTCTGAAGTTTATCTTGTACCAGGCTACTCAGAAACAAGGAACTTTGGTCCTGCTTCTAATACTCACCTTCTCTGAACTTACCCTTTTTGTAGGGGCAGGGTTTGGATAAAATGGGTAGGAGGGACTTAAACTCATATTCTGCTCATTCATCTTTTCATATTAAAAAAAATTGCTATTTCTTCCTTGCTAGAACACTCAATTTTAGACTTCAGCACTGGACAGTTGCTCTCTGTCAGGTTTTGATCAGTAAAAATGAGAGGAGTTTCTGGTTTAAAATTTTTTTACCTGTATTAGATTAAATGGTTCTGTAAGTCTTTACAATCGGAGCTACTGTTAGAATCTTTCAGGAGAAGCTTCCCCCACCCCTTGCCACTTCTGCCCCCAATGTTCAGGAGAGATGGTAGTAAATCCTTTTGGAGGTGACATCTGTGGGAAGGAAAGCTAAAAAAAAAAGAGAGAGAGAGAGACTCTTACCTCATTCATAAATCTGGTACATCATCTTTCTTCCACTGAAAACTAGTCAGACATAAGTCCCAGTCTAGGGGCAGCATGAAATCATAACTTAGGTGAGCCCTAGTAGTCTCCAAACTTCCTGGGGAAGGAGAAACTAAGTATTTTAGTCATTGCAGAGGCATGTGTCACTCAGTGTGGGTTGACTTAACCTCGTTTCAGTGTTTTGTCATCTCTTTGCTATCTTAGGATATGTTTCTATTTCAACAGTATGAAGCTCCCAAGCCCTCTCTCAAATGCCTTGCTAAAGAGCCTGAAGGGAGAACAGCCAGTGTCAGGCTATTTTTCTTACCTCCTAGGCCTAATGCCCTGAACCTGGCATCTCCAGGAAGAAAAGTAAAGCAGAGACATATGCTCTATGCCCTTTGTGGGTACTGAGTTAGAGATTACTAACTGGATTTAGACTGTTCCACATTTCTCAGGTTTCTAAAAGTCCCTCAGCTTATGTGGTTGAAGACCTTGATCTCTGCTGAGATCCGAAGCTCTGAGACGAGAATGTCATAGAGAAGGTTGGAGGATGATTTTATCTTCATTCCAAATATATATCCCCCTCCACCCCAAGAAAAACCAGATATAAATTCCCAGAGTGGCAAATCTGTCATACCCACCGCCAAACAATATTAGCATATATGCTCTGCAGCATAAAGCATAGGTGGGGCTCCTGACCTGTTTCTGTCGTATTTAATTTATTCATTCATTGAATATTTATTGAGCACCAGCTGTGTGCCAGAAATTATGCTAGGTGTTTGACGTTGCTTTATTATATAAATGTTGCAAGAATCCTCTAAGATTTAGTCATTCTTTAAACAAACATTTATTGTACGCCTACAATGTACTATTCCTAGGTACTGTGCTAAGTGCTAAGAGAAGTATTATTATTCCCATTTTTTTCCCCCTCTGATGAGACATATAGCTTCCCCAAAATCATTCAGAGTAATAAGTGGTCAAAATAGGATTCCAATTCATGTTTTTGTGAAGTTTCTGGTTTATACTTTTATTACCTGTATTATATTAAAGCCTCTGTAATTCTTTACAATCAGTAAGTTAGAGTAAAACATTGATTTTTATTGTGCTATCACACACACATTTTAATAAACTTTTTATCTTGGAATAATTTTAGAATTACAGAAAAAATTGCAAAATATGTCCCTCAACCTAATTATCCTGTTTTTACATCTCCATGGTACATTCCTCAACACTAAGAAACTGGCATTGAGCCCTGACTGGTGTGGCTCAGTGGGTTAGCACCGGCCTGTGAACCAAAGGAAACTGGCATCGATACATGACTATTAACTAAACTCCATATTTTATGTTTTATTTCACCAGTTTATTCATTAACGTCCTCTTTCTCCTCCGGGATACGATTCAGGGTTGTGGGTTTGTGGAAGCACACAGCAGAAGTGAGGTGCCCTTCTCATCAGATCATAGGAGGGGTTATTGGACAGCTACAGGACATGCCATCACTGGTGGCATCACTGTCCTCGTTTGGTTAAGGTGGTGTTCTTCAAGGTTTTTAACTGTAAAGTTACTGGTTTGCCCTTTTGCTACTCTGTTCTTTGGAAATAAGTTACTAATCTAAGCTACCCTCAGTGGGAATGGGAACTAAACCCCACCTCCTGAAGAGGAGAGTATCTACATATATTATTTGAAATTGTTCTGTTGGAGAAATTTGTTTCTTCTCCCATTTAGTCATTTCTTTTTTTATCAATATGGACTCATACTAAACTCTGATCTGAAACCTGTGTTTTTTTCTGCTATACCAGACAAGAAATGACAAGGACCTATTCCAAGACATTGATTTCAGAGAAATGTATTTACTTCAGATTTTAGAGATTTGTAACTAGTTGGTTTGGTAACACTTGGTGACCTTGATTGTGAGGGAATGAAGGAAAAGGGAGTGTTTGAAAATGACACTCAGATTTCAGTTTCATTGGCTGGAAATAAAATTTTGATTTGAAATATTACCTAACACATGAAGACTGATTTTAGGCTTTGATAAAACTCAGCTGCTTCAGAGACTGTATGTAGTGTGCATGTAGGTTCCGCTTTCTGAGTGCCCCGTTCTCCCTCATCAGAGCAGAGCGAACTCCTTTCATTCCGACTGACGCACCAGGGGCCCCCTAGTGGACAGCCTACTGGGTCCTGTTTCTCGTCTTGAAGGAGGCTTGGTTTTGTTTTTTGTTTGGTTGTGAGGTTTTCTCTAGTTCATTTGCAAAGCAGAGATGCTTAATTCTATTGTCTCTAATAAATTATTAAACTTCTCCCACTTCAGAGTTATCAGTTCACCCCCATGTGATACCACGTTCAGTAGAAGGACAGCTACCGTCTGACAATTACTCCCATGCTCTCATACTCTAAATCAGAGAGTACGCAATACTTGTTTTTAACTCATTTATCCTTTTCTTACATCTGGTGCTATCTTAATGTTAATTCTTTGTTTCAGAGCCATCATCAACCACTTTAACCCCAAAATTGAGTCCTATGCTGCTGTGAATCACATATCCCAACTGTCGGAGGAACAGGTAAGTCACTCCTTTCCCCAGAGTGACCCGACTTGGTGGCTGGGATCAAGTAGTTGCCCTCTGTCTGATAGCAGAGGGATTCTGGGACGGAGCTTCTAGCGGGAGTAGCAAAAGCCAGGCTGTTAAGAGGAATTAGTAAGGGATCTGTTGATAGTACTTTAAATAGTAATGGCTTCCACTTTTGTGCCATATGAGAGGTTTGTTTAATTATATAGAAGATATGTAGGTGAATATTTGGAGAATTCTTATTTTAGAGTGGGTGATAAAGCATATCTGTTTTTTAATTTTAGGCAGAGTCATTTTGATTTTTGAAAGTAAGAAATGAAAACTTAGAAATCGATGAAACTGCCAATTAGAAAAACTTGGAGTTCAGCTTAATTTGATGCTGTTCAACTTGTTAAAGCACGAGCCCTCATTGGGGCATATTTTCTTTAGTAATTGAGTTCTGTTTGCCTGGAGAAATTATTTCTGAGCAGGTTTTTCTTTGCTATGGACTGAGTGGGAGATGCAGATAGTAGTGTGTGTGTGTTTGTTTTTCTTGGATCTGGCCTGATTTCCCCATCTCCCAAAGTGCCTGCGCTCAGCTCTGTATTATATAAAACTAGAGGTGGGACTTTAGCTCATGGCATGGGCTTGAACTTGATGTTTCAGAATGAGACTCTTGAGTCTTATTTTTAAATGCACAAAATGAGGCATCCTGTTTACACAATCTCCCTTTCTTTCTACTTTATTCTTTTTTTTTTTTTTTTAATACTCACCCAAGGATATGTTTATTGATTTTCCTTTTTTTTTTTTTTTTTTTTTTAGAGGGAGAGAGGAAGGGTTGGAGGGGAGGGAGAGAGAAAGAGAAATATCAATGTCAGAGAAAAACATCAGTCAGTTGCCTCCTGTATGCACCCCAACCAGGGATCAAACCCACAACCTACATATGTGCCCTGACCAGGATTGAACCTGCAACGTTTTGGTGTATGGAATGACACTCCAACCATTTGAGCCACCCAGCCAGGGCCATTCCCACTTTATCCTTAAGTTGGAGGGCCAGGGTATTCTTGAGGTAAGAGTCCAGGTATATAGACTCCAAGCTAATTTTTAAAATCCCACATGTGCTCTTCCCTGCTTTTTTTTGCCAGTGCATCAGCATAGCCCTTCTATGAGTCTCTTGCCAGCAGGGCCAGCCAGCTATGATGCAACCATGTGTTCCAGTCTTCCTAAAAGCTATTCAGCTCTCCCAGTGAGGCACCAAGCAAGTCTTTTTCCTAACAGACAAGCTCCTCAGTATTCCCACCAGGAGCTCTTTCCTCAGCCAGATGGATAGGATTCTGTTGGTCTATCAGTTGTTCTTTTGACATATTTGTCCTCTTTTGTGAGGCCACCTGTGAGAATCCATCCACTTATTTAAACTGCCTTTATAAATGGCTTCATTTTCTTTTTTTCTATTCTGCCTATGGAGCAGTTATGAGTCCTGTTCTTTGATACCACTGCTCTCTGTGAGGTGCTTTGAGATGCTACTTTTTTCCTGATGGACCAATTCAGATCGATTTTACTATACCATTTTTATACAAAAGGATTAAGCATCTTCTGTGTTGTTCAGTGAGAAAAAAAGGTGAATTTCCATCCACAGTGAGCTCTGGTTAGTCTAAATAAAAGCTTTATTTAAAAAAAAAAAAAAGACACATTTTCCCTGTCAGCCACGTGCAGTATTCATCCCCCAGCAGCTTGAGAAGGTCAGGCTGAAATCTTTTTACAGCAGTACAGCCACAGACCAATAATAAAAATTCATTCTGGAGCATGAGGCAATCTGGAAGAGGATGATTAGCAAGCACATGTCCTCACCCTCCTCCACCTCTTTCAAAGTTAAATGAAGTGATGAAAGTGCCTCTCAAAAAGAGTCCTCAAGCCAGAGATGAGGCAGTTTCTACAGAGGGGGATAGTAGATAGTTCTGTTTGAGAATGGGGAAGGGATAACAGCTTTCAAAGATTTATTTAGTCAATAAATAATTACAGGCCTTCTGTATATAAAGTATGGTGCTGCGTATTGGGGATCAGTGGTAAGTAACTTTAAGTGTAGTCCTTGTTCTCGTGGAGTTTTTGTATATTCATTACTTCTTTTAACACTCCTTTTCTCTTGGGGAGTGGGGGAAGGGTGATACTATTCTGGGACCCTTTGCAAAACTGCTCTCAAAATAGTTGTTGCTGACTTTGAAGGGCGCTGCATGACAGCCTAGGGTACACTTGATTTTATTCTCAGCACTATCAGATTAGAAGTATTTGACTGCCTTGTTAATCTTCAACATGTGTTGGAGCACTTCTCTCCCTTCACTATGAACATTAATGCTAATATCACTTAATGTTAAGTGTATTCACAGCTTCCCAAAGAGCTGTCTTTGAGATGCAGTAGGACCCTGCAGTTGTTAGCGGCAAACTAAGTAGAAAGAAAAAATTAGAAATTGAATCCCAAGTAGATTCTAACGGACTCCTAAAATAAAACCTAAATACCATGACTAGGCATTAACTGGAATTTATAGCACCTAGTAAGTAGTGACAAGAGACAGTTCTTTTGGTAGATCTGCCTGCCGAGCCTGCCATTTTTTCTAGCAAGAGATTTGTTGAGTTTTTGAGTTCTGACAACCCCTAGACACATTCCATCTCTGTTTGAGGCATTTCAAGGTGCTACTTGTAAATCCATTATTGCTTATTAAACAAAGTCCATTCTCTCACACGGGTTGTTTGGGGGTTTTTTTGGTTTGTTTTTTCAGTTGTTGAGAAGATATATGACATTTTTCTGTTACTTCTCATTGACTTCACAGAGGGCAAAGCTTTTTAATCAGTTAATACTCTTAGTGTGACTGAATGGTTCTTCACTTTCTATTGTAATAAACTGCATGCATTTTTAAATATATTTTATATATTTTTAGAGAAAGGGGAAGGGAGAAAGAGAGAGAAGCTTCAATGTGTGAGAGAAATATCAATCGGTTGCCTCTCACACACCCCCAACCAGGGACCTGGCCTGCAACCCAGGCATATGTCCTGACTGGGAATCAAACTTGCAACCTTCGGTTTGTGGGTGATGCCCAGCCCACTGAGCCACACCAGCCAGGGCTCCATGCACTTTTATATCATATACACAGGTGTCATATTTATCTGAGGTTGATTGTGAAGCTTGTTCATTTGGACTCCTTTTTTATGTGTGATAAAATATATGTAAATTTATCATTGTAACCATTTTTAGTGTGCAGTTCAATGGTATTAAGTACATTTGGATTTTGTGTAACCATCACCACTATCCATCTCCAGAACTTTTTCATCTTCTTAAAATGAAATCCTATACCTATTAAACAATAACTACCAATTTTCTCCTCCTGGCGCCCACCCCCTAGGAACCACTGTTGTACATCTCTATGTAGTTGACTCTTCTAGGTGGCCCATATAAGTGGAATCATGAAAAATTTGCCTTTTTGTATCTGGTTTATTTCACTTAGTGTAATGTCTTCAAGGTTCAACCATGTTGAAGCGTCTACCAGAATTTCATTCCTCTTCAAGACTGAATAATATTACATTGTTTATTATAGCACATTTTTATTGTTTATGCTGTTACAGTGGTCCCTACTTTTTCTCCCTTTGCCCACCTCCACCCAGCACCCCCCCACCCCTTCCTCAGTCAATCCACATAGCATTGTCTGTGTCCAGGAATCATGCATAAATGTTCTTTGGCTAATCCCTTCACCATCTTTCATCCAGTCCCCACTTCCTGCCCACCATCAGCTGTCAACGTGTGCATTGTATCTATACCTCTGTTTCTATTTTGTTCATTAGTTTATCGTGTTTTTTAGATTCCACATATAAGTGAGATCATGTAGTATTTGTCTTTCACTGACTGGCTTATTTCACTTAGCATAATATTCTCCAGGTCCACCCATGCTGTCACAAAAGGATAGACTTTTCTTTTTTATTGCTGCATAGTACTCCATTGTGTAATATACCACAGTTTCTTTTAATTTACTCCTCTACTGATGGGCACTTAGGCTGTTTCCAGATATTTGTTATTGTAAATAACACTGCTAGGAATATAGGGATGCGTATATTTTTTTGTATTGGTGTTTCAGGATTCTTAGGATATATTCCCAGAAGTGGAATTGCTGGGTCAAAGGGGAGTTCCTTTTTTAATTTTTTCAGGATAGTCCATATTGTTTTTCACATCAGTTGCACCAGTTTGCCTTCCCACCAGCAGTGCACTAGGGTTCCCTTTTCTCTACATCCTCTCCAAAACTTGTTGTACATTGACTTATTGATGGTAGCCATCCTGGCAGGTGTGAGGTGATATCTTATTGTGATTTTAATTTGCATTTCTCTGATGATTAGTGATGTTGAGCATTTTTTCATATGTCTATGGGCCATCTGTATGTCTTCTTTGGAGAAGTGTGTATTCAGGTCCTTTACACATTTTTTAATTGGATTGTTTGTCTTCCTGGTGTTGAGTTGTATTAGTTTTTTTGTATATTTTGGAGATTAAACTCTATCAGATGCTTCATTGGCAAATATGTGTCCCATACAGTAGCTTTCCTTTTCATCTTGCTGATGGTTTCTTTAGCTGTGAAGAAGCTTTTTAATTTGCTGCAATCCCATTTGTTTCTTTTCTCCTTTGTTTTCCTTGCCCTAGGAGATATATCTACAGAAATATTGCTATGTGAGATATGTGAGATTTTTGCCTATGTTTTCTTCTAGGATTTTTATGTTTTCTTGACTTAATTAAAGACTTTTATCCATTTTTAGTTTATTCTTGTGTGTGGTATAGGCAAGTGGTCTAGTTCATTTTATCACATGTACCAGTTCAGTTTTCCCAACTCCATTTATTGAAGAGACTGTCTTTGTATATAGGACATTTTTTTTATTCATCCATCAGTGGACATTTAGGTTGTTCTCACCTTTTGGCTATTGTGAAGAACGTTGCTATGAACATCGGTGTAGAAATAGCTGTTTGAGTCCCTGCTTTCAGTTCTTTT